AATTCCGACACTAATTCACACATCTCAGTTTTATATTCCATCTCACAACTCAATAACCCGAATATTGAAACCCCCGATGAATTTGCCGACTCAGAACCATCCCCATCAAATCATTTTCATAATTCTTCTAATTTTTCTCAACCCCCTTTTCAACCCATATTATCCAATAACCCTGACCCAATCACTTCCACACCCTCTTATGCTTCCCAAGTTACCCCAACCTACTCCTCACTTCATTCTGACCAATCATCTCATTCTCCAGACACCCCCCGAATCTCCCCAGAGCTAGATAATTTTATTACCCTTCAACAACAACCCTACCACCTCCATACCCCAACAATAAACCAAATCTCCTCCACAATCAATTCATCCAACCCCACTACCCCTACACCCTCTTCAAATTATACTGAATCATTAGCACCATCACCCACATCAACTGAATCTTCACACAATACTAATAGAGCTTACCGCACTTTTAAAAGAAAGTTCCCCAACCATCCTTTCCCAGCAAAACCAGGAACAGCCCGTGAATACATCAACCACCCCAAGCATACTAACACAAAAGAATTTTTAGCCATCACCTTACCCTCATTCCCACAATACACCTTAAACACCCCCCATGACACTAACGAAACACGCAACTTTGTAGATGAATACGTTTTAATGCCCACTCTCTCTTGGACCTCATATTATCATTTTACTAACCCTCTTTGCTTACCTTTATCTAACACTCACATCGATATAGAGCGAAATACGGACATGCTATATCGACTCACTACACCACTAACCGCTAGACAATTTACTTACGTTGGATATAAAAAATCACTAAAAACACACACTGCACCTAGAGCTAACGAATATACACTCGAATACTATGATCACAACATCATCAGAGCTAACCAAGATCAATTCTTAGACGACGATCGCTTCGCTAATCCACAAATTACCGAGAAATTTTTCATCAAGACACCATATATATTTACACTAAACATCTTCGACCGAAAGTTTGATCACATTATTTCAGAAGCACTAACAGACACACAAGCATACGAAAGTTTTAAAGAACGCTTCCAAATATTTTCACTAACCTTTCATTTCCTTGCACCACACGAAAGAGATTTACACTGCTCACACGATATTATGTTGCGCACTAAACAAACCCACACATATAGTTATTATCGCTTCATCCAAAATCACTTTGACCTACACACACCCTCTAGACAACCACACCATCGCTTTCAATTCATTAATTCCAAATACACTTCACCATTTTTCCTAAATTTCACATATTGCATTTAAGATACTAACCTTCATGGTATTCTTCGCAATTATGATCCCATAACCCAAATGTACATCTTCTGTCCCATCACCAAGACCTTCAACGCCGAAGAATCCCGACCCTTCCTTATCCCGCACGAGTTTGTACAACCTATAGAAATCCCAATTTTAGAATTCATCCACAACACTAAATTCAATCACAAATTATATAATCTAATCCAAAACACACCTTATGAGTTTGCAGTTGGCACTGAAGAACTAACCACTATTAAGGCACTTCAATTGCTTTGGCCACTGCTTCAGACTAAAAATATCATCCGCATCTTAGCTAAACTACTAACAACTTCAGAACTAATTCACGACATCTTCCCCCACGGTTTTTTCCCCGACGACTAACAGGTAAGTATGAATTAAATGAATATTACTAACTAATTAAAATATTAAAAAACTCACCATACTTTATCCATGTTTTCCTTAGATTTTTAGCCTTCATCCGACGATCACCTACAAAAACCACAAAAAACAAATAAAGATCGCAAATTTCATCAAACAGATTTCAACAATTCTATTAATCTCTTACACTTATAAATTTATAAATTTAATACCAATGCAATAAATTCATTTCTAAAATTTTCCCCACAAGCAGTAAATCTAATTATGATGAAAATTTGTAACTTAAAATTCCCCCATAACTAGCAGTAAATTTACAAATTCTATGCAGTAAATTAATAAAATGCAAATGCAGTACTAACCTTTTGATATTCTCATTTATTCGCACAGAAATTCTATCCACACTCGCACAGCTCGCCCACGAAGAGTTGTTTAAAATAATGAATTTCAGTTTCAAGTTTTCACACTCAACAACTCTAACATATAATAACATGTTTCAAACTTTCCTTTAACCCGGTTGGAAAGGAATCATATACTAAACAAAACTAACCAACGCAGCTTACTAAATACCACAAATCATAGAAAAACATCATGACTAAGAAAAGGAAACCAACGGTACCCAAACCGGATTAACCCAGTTTAAAACTGGATAATTTATTCTTTTGAAGACTATTATAAAGTCTAAGAAAGAAATAATAAAACACAAAAAAGTCGAAAGACAAACCCATATCACGAACAATTTGCTTTTTGGAAAAAGGACATAACCAACAAGACATAAGAAAAACCACAACAAACCCAACATAAAACGTTGTCACATAACAGGACCCCTCACAAAAACCGCATGAAATCATACTCCCACTCCTGGCCTAACCCACCAGGAAGGACGTCCTGAGCATGCTCTATAGCCGGCCTAACCCACCGCGCTACATCCACGCTTTGTGACCACACCTCTATTTTTAATAAGAGCTACTCAAGGGTGAGTAACTCTTCAAAATAACCGAACTAAAACAAAAAGCTTTTGTGAAAACAACTAACTAAAATCATAATTAAAAAATATTAAACTAATAAATGTTTTATAAAATGTAAATTACATTATGCAATACATAGATCAGAATACAACACCAAGGACGAACATCTAAAGACAAAACGACCCCACTACACTCGAGAGAGAATGGCCAACCACAATCGATATGCCACTCACAATCACAACTCAAAGGATTTAGAGTACGACTTGACTTCGCAGAAAAGGACTTCATTGAACTAGACCAATGACCACCTCGATGTTCAAGTATACGTACAGATCCGAGTAACCAGGCATCCCCTCCACGCACAATCTCCACGCCATTCCCAAATTAGATCAGACACAAAAGAAGTTCTCCACGCAGAACAGAAAAACCTGACATAGCAAACCATTCTGAAATCAGATTTGAGTTTGTTGCAAAGACTTAGTCGTTGTCACTAGAAGACACAACGTCTTATGTCTCTAACTCCAGCTTCCTGGAACTTCTTTAACAAAGAGGAAACAGAAGAAATAAGATGTTCGCCAAACACCAACGTCCATCATCCATCCTTCGAATTGCAGAAGAACTATTCTAAAAAACTCTGTAAAACCCGGATGGGTGGAACCTGATCTAGACTACATTTTATGATTGGATAATTTAGATATTTTACCAATGTAAAGTATTTAATATTAACCAATCATGATCCATCTAACTAACAACCCACTTATTTGTAAGTGCTGAAGTTACTTGTAATTTCAGCACCAGAGAGATTTGAATTTAACTTAGAAATTAGTTAGACTCTCCCGAGCACTTCAGCAGCCGCAATAAACCAGTATACCCTAGATCTATTGAGCCTACCAGAGACTAGTTAAACAACCTGAGACTAGATAGTATAAGAGTAAGATTAGGATCGGTATTAGACTAAGAAGTTGCACGAATCTATCCGGCCGAAAATAAGATAGCGTGACGAGCAGACGGTGTACCCTATCCGAAATTACTCTATGAGTTAACCAACACGGTTCTAACTCACTCATATCGTCCAATGCTTTCCTTGATGTCTAATTTCATTGCAAAAGAGCTTCTGCTTCATCAACTGTTTTACTAACAAGTGATCTATTCAATTGAGTCATAAACTTGATGAATTATTTCACTTGTTGAAAAGTTTGGTGAACTGAATTTAGAGCTAGCAGTTCAAATTCGGAATTTTGAAATAATTGCTCACTTTTGTTGCCTGTAACTTAAATTAAATTTTTGAACTGATGATGACTTCATTTTCGTAATAATTGGCTGCTTTGTACCACCCATTTTCTTCAATTTAGCTATGCAAACTGAATTACAGAAAGGACTGAATGGAATGTTCAGTTGGCTTTTAAAAAGTAGGTCTGGAGTTGTAATGAAGCGTTGAGAGGTGTTGAAGGATGATGAAAGGTTTAGGAAAACAAAAAAAGTAATGGAAAATTGACAAAGAGTTAAAATTGTTCAATATTGCAAAGGACAGGTTCGAATCTTCGGCGCCTTAGTATTTCAACCAGGCCACTAAAAAATTAACTCTGAAACTTGGGAAAACTTTAAGTGCATATGAAAATTCCAAATCGTTCACCCTTTTTCTGTTTGTTTCAAAGTTTATTGGAGTTTTTTTTTGGTTTTTCTTAGAGCCTGGTCTGCTGAAATCATCAAGGCTAATGAAGAGTGCTCAAATTAATCTGTGCTCGCGCTGATTGTTGATGAAGAGCACGATACCGCTTGACAAGGTCAAGGTTTTTTTCTTTTTTTTCGGATCCTGAATGACATGCAAAACTTCTAACTTAATAGGCTTTTGGCTGTCTTTAAACTGAAAAATATCAGTTTCTCCTTTTCTGTTACAGTGTGGTGTACTGCATCAGAAATGGAGAAACTGATATTTTTCAGTTTAAAGACAGCCAAAAACCTATTAAGTTAGAAGTTTTGCATGTCATTCAGGATCCGAAAAAAAAAGAAAAAACCTTGATCTTTGATTTGATTTGATTTTATGCATTTCCAAAAATTCTTCACTATTTTGTATTGAAGTTATTGATGCGAACTTTTTTAGGGAGTGATTGATGACGTCGTGCCAGATAAAGTCTCGCTGTTGTATTCAAAGCGTGACTGAAAAAAAAATTGGACAGTTTTTTCTTATTGATCTTGCTGTCGTTAAAACAAAGTCGGGAGTTATAATGACTCGCTTCATCAATTGCGGGAGTAATCATTATCATGATATATACATAAAAGTTCAAGAGGATTTCTTTGTCAGATTATTCAGTCATGAACAGATTATGCCTAGAGCTTCCGATTTTTCGAAACATCAGTGTTTAGGTTGCCCTTGTGAAGTGGACTGAAGATGCGGGTCTGAAGTTGGTGTTCCGAGACCAGTATGAGATGCACCTGGAGACGGCGGATGGTCGGTTGCTCAAGTTTAAAGTACTCCACTTGTTCCCCTTCTCATCTGAGAGGAAACGAATGGGCATAATTGTGAGGAGCGAACAGACAGGCGAGTACTCTAATTTACGCTAATGAAAAATAAAGTGAATAAAATAAAATAATAATAAAAATTTTCAAGATTTTAGTAAAAGCTTAGGAAATCTTGAAAAGAGTTTATCGAAAAAGAGTGAGTTAATTCTAGAACTTTAAAAAAAAGTCTTGAAGTTAAGAATTTCATCGAAGAACATTCATCCATGTATAAAACAACCCGCGTACCAATTGTTCAATTCACATGCATTTTAAGTTACTTTTGTAGGCTGCGAAATTTTGTCTCACCATGGCAAGCATCGACAAGAAGATTATAATAAAAAAAGGGGGCTAGTAATAATTACGGCGTTTCAACTAAGAGGCGAACACTTAGCCACGTCCTCCTTGCTCACTAACTTTGAATCATTCAAATCATTCTTTTGATTGGGGTTTTTCTTCTTCGGGTCAAATTCATCTCTTTTTTTTGCAAATTGAACATAAGATGATAATGCTTAATTCTGATTATATGAAATTAAAATGCAAAATAAATCTGAAGCGTCAGTTTTTTTAAACATACAATGCTGATTTAAATGAACAGGACAAAACAAATACAAAAGGTAATTAAAAACGCTTTTTTTTCCAAACCGAGTTGAATTAAGACGAAAAAATGATGACATTAAAAATTATTGCTGATGATTTTATTAGAACTTTTAGGGTGCAATTTGTTTTGTGAAAACCGGGCCCAAAATTTTACCCCAAAACCGATCATTTTTGGCTTTTATTGGTGAATGAGAACTACCAGCCCGAACTACCAATTCAATTGCTGTCAAAACAATATCAAAGTGAGCCATCCTCTTATGTTGACTCACGACTTCCTTTAGAGTGTTTCAACTTCCTTTTAAGGTCTATGGAGCATTAATTAAATGAAAAAACTAAATGTAACAAAATAAAATGAAAAAGATTTTTTTTTTCAAAACCAAAGATTTTTTTTGAAAACCATTCCCCTACACGCCATATAAAAAAAAAGTGATAAATTTTGCTCCTGGTAACAAATCAATTATGGCAAATAAGATTCCTTCAACCAATTTGGAACAATTTCTAAGACGGTTAAATCTCCACTTAACGTTAATAGCGCGTAAAATATCACGCGTTATGAGTGTCCCAAATTCGGCAAAATAGCAATCTTTAAACCCCCATATCTGTACGAAAAGTGATCACAAGTAAATATCTTCTCACTTTTAAGCTCAGAAAACAATACTTTTTGATTGATACAAAAACATTCCGTCAAAAATGGCCAGTCAAAAAGTTGAAATTTATCTGAAGAAAAAAAAAACCACCTCAGCTCAAATATTCCGTTACTTTCGTTACCAAAGTCGGAACAATAACTTATAGTCTCTAAAAAGTAGTTAAAAGGAAGTGTTTTTTGTTTGGTAGCCAAAAAGTGCCTTTTTTGTCCGACTTTCGAAGCAAACTAAAAATTTTTGCTTTGTGTTGTTTTTTATTCAGTCAATTTTTGCTGATCGAAAAAATCATTTTTAACAAAAACACTTTACACCCCTTTTGAATATATCAACTATCTGAATTCAATTGTAGAAAAAATTAATTTTACCTTCAATTGTTTTTTGTAAAGTTCTGAAAGGTAGAAAGTTGCAAATTTGGTCATATTCTGGACTAAATTATGCGCGTATTCAAGAATTGGATTTATAATGTATGTTTATAAAAGCAATTTATTTATGCGTGACCAATATTCCCACTCAATAAAATTGTTCCAAATTGAGCTGAGACTTTCAAATCGGTCGTATTGATTTCGTACGACTTATATTTGTACTCTTGAACTTTGATATTGTCCAGAACTTATAACTTTTCATTATCTTCTCTTCCTGAATAGTTTTCAATATGACTTAACGGCAGTCAGAACCTTCTGACTGCCGTTATTATATAAACAAGATATACAAGCACTCTTGTTATTATATAAACTGCTATTTTTTAAATATACAAACAATATGAAAAGTTATGGCTCAAATTATGAGTGATTATACTTCTCTTAAAAAATTTTTGGCTTCATAAGAGGCTCATTTTTAATTTTGTTTTGAAAGCAACTGAACTGGAAGCTCTGACTGATAGCTCTTATTCAGCGATAAAATCCTAAAAGTTCGGTTTTTAGGCAAAACTTCTTTAAACCCCCTTAACTTTACAAAATTATTTCAAAAAAATGTCTTCTCAAGCTTACGCTCAGGACAACAATACTTTTTGATTGATACAAAAAAAATTCCGTCAAAGATTGCTAGTTAAAAATTGGAAGTTTATCTGAAGAAAAAAAAAACCATCCCGAAAACAAATATTCCGGTACTTTTGTTACAAAAGTCCGAAAAAACGTCTAGTCTCAAAAACTTTAGTTTAAAGAAAGTTATTTTTGCTTGGTAGCCAAAAAGTGTCTTTTTTTGTTCCGACTTACGAAGAAAACTGAATATTAATGCTTAGTGTGGTTTTTTTATTCAGTCAGTTTTCGCCGATCGAAATAATAGTATTTAACAAAAACATTTTACACCCCGTTGAAGATATCAACTTTCTGAGTTCAATTGTAAAATGGTATTCTACTTCCGGTTGTTTTTTTGTTAAGTTCTGGTAGGTTGAAAGTTGCCAGTTTGGCCATGTTCTGGACTAAATTATGCTCGCTTTGAATATTTTTATCATAATGCTGAGAGCGTAACGCGAATTATTTATGTGTGATCAATTATCTCACGCAACAAATTTGCTCCAAGTTCCATTGAGGCTAGCAAAATGGTCGTGTTAGTTTCGTACGGCTAGTATTTTCACTTTTTTTTAAAACTTGTCCAAAATTTCTAGCTTTTCAATATCGTCTTTTTCTAAAACGTATTAAATATGAATTAGGGGCAGCCATAACATTCAAGGTTTTGCTTTGATCTACGAGCAATCTTGGCTTTATATAAAATGGCAACGTTTTAATTTGAAAACAAAATGAAAAGTTATGGCTCACTTTTTAAGAGATTATACTCTGCTAAACTTTGTTTGGCTACCTAAGAGGCTCTTTTTGATATTGTTTTGGAAGACACTGAACTGGTAGCTCTGGCTGGTAATTCTCATTTACTGATAAAATTTAAAAAAAGATCCGTTTTAGTGTAAAATTTCGGGTCCGAATTTCGCAAAACAAATTGTACCATCATAATTTTTTTGATTTTCTGAGCAAGTTTGGTCATCGTTTTTGTCTAAGGTCAAATCAATTTAAAAAAAAAACGTTTTTTGTTTCAAGCGTCATTCGTTTTGTCCGGATAATTTAAATCTGCAGTGTATCAGCTCATGCAAAGTTCTAATATTTTTGGGCCACATAACAGAAAAAGACCATTGACCCTTTGATTGACAGGAACAAAGTAACATCCCCCCCCCCAACAAGATAGACCAAGTTAAAATCTTCCGTCCCATCATTTAATTCTCATTAAAACTTCTAAGCGCTGCATGTGAAATGCTCAATTCTGATTGGCTGAAAATTCCCAACTTGTAACCAATCTTACGCCCCCCCCCCCCCAAAAAAAAACATCTCTGGGGATGTTAACTTTGACATAGACGATCTGTTGTTCCCTGTGATTGACAGGCGAGCTGTTAATCTCTAATACTTTGTTTGATTGACAGGTGAAGTGTTATTTTCTGTTCATTTGCTTTGATTGACAGGTGAGGTGTTGTTTTTCGTGAAGGGTGCTGACTCAGTGGTGGCTCCCATGTGTGACTTCACTGATTGGCTGGACGAGGAGTGTGGCAACATGGCCCGAGAAGGACTTCGTACACTAGTCTACGCTAAGAGGTCAGCGGAGTGCAGAATGTATTTAGAAAACAGCGACAGTAAGCAGACAAATACAATATTAACCAATCAGAATCGAGATGAGAAACAAAACTTAGGAAATAAATAATTATTTTATTTAAAAAATTTTTTCCTTGTCTTGATTTTGATCGGTTATTATAGTGTACACTACGAGGCCAAACTGTTCAATGGATAGTTTTTAAACTTGTTCCAAACTGTAATTTTAACTGTAGTTACAAAACTTCGGTGGATTTCGCGTACAAGTACCTGTAACGTAAATCTTGTCGGCACATTAGTTTTGTTGCGGAGCCCGCAATGAGCGAATATAGCTAGAAGTTCTGGATTCGGAAAACGCAAGCGGATTCCACAAACATAATTGGATTGTAATTTTGTTTGTTATACGGCACTGAACTAGTCCTTGAGTGAACAATTTAGAGCTATAGCTAGAATTATCATAAAGTAAATGTGGGATTTAAAATCAAAAATTTAGTTTTAGTGTTAGTTAGTGTAATCCAAAAACAATCCCTAAAGCATGGTTCAAATAAAATTGTGGTTCAATTTTAGTAATGGAATAGGTAAAAGGTATTATTATTTGAGCATTATAACCCATGAAGTAGTATACTTCAGTTTGTTTTCATTCTTTCAATATTTGAGATCAGAATTTTGCCAGCATCTGAGTTCGAAAAAGTGTTCTCACTTTCAGTATTTGAGATCAAAAGTTTTCTCAGTTTTTTCATTATTTGAGATTGGAAAGATGTTAAATCTTTCAGTATTCGAGATCGGAATGGTAATTATTGATTCAGTATTTGAAACTTGGCTAGTGAGTTCAAACTGTTGGCAGTAAATGAGATTATTGAACTGTTTAAGGTCTTGCTGATGATCCACAAAAATTGCTTAATTCAAAATTGTTTTTTCCAGACCTAACTATATGTGCTACTGGATTCCGCTTACAGTTTGCGGGTGCTGCTTACAGTGGCGAATTCCGCAACAACTCAGTTTTACTATAGCTATCAATAACTAATTGTTTGGGATTCCACAAACTGTTCCAGATTCCGTTTACACTGTTGCGGATCCCGCAATTACTGCTCGAATTCCGCAAATTGGCATATTTTGGAGCAATTTTAAGCAGTACAGTTTTTTTAGCTATTTGTTTGTGGCATATAAGACAACAAAGAGTATCAAAGAAAAACTAAAATGTCGCGGATTTGGCCTGTTAAGGATAATCTCTAAAAATCACAAAATGCTCTGTTTGGCCGGGTAATGTACTGACGATTACAATGAAGCGGTTGTCTAAAAACTGCTATGTAATCGAGGTCAGCTAGGATTTTTGCAAAAAAAATTTTGGATCGAATTAAAACTTTTGTCCTTTATTGAAAGCTGGATTTGTAGCCAGTTAAAATCCAGCGTTTTAAACTTGAATTCCACATGAAACCAAATTTAAACCAAATGGTTTCTAAATTTAAACTTAAAGCGAAATTAATCCAAAAAATCTTGGATCGCGCCAAAGAAATCGCAGTTTTGTCTGTTTGGGGGAAAAAGGCGTTACCGAGATAACTCTTACTAGGCAAGCTGTGGTCTCTAAATAAATGGCTTCAAAAAAGCTCGCAGGTGGTCAAGTGTATTGTTATTTTTTAAAGCACTGTTGGTTGATATTGGTTTTCAAAAAAATCAAAACGTAGCCTCCGTCGGTATGAAACGTTTTTGGGCTAAATTAGACAAAAATTGATGAGAAGCTGACACCCCAGACATTTTATTCAAGTTTAGGCTGGTTTTTTACAAAGCAAAAATCGGCTCTTTTTTCTCTTTAATTTTCTCACCATAATTTAAACATAGTTTTTTACGATTTAGCTGAAATTATTGCAACTTTTTTTTCTAATTGTACAGAAAATGATTGAAAAAATTTAAATGCTGTGCGGTATTTCTATTGATGCGTAGTACGAAAGTAAGTGTTCCGACTTTTGAAAAAAGCGCATTTTTTTTGCTTAGGGTGGTTTTTTATTCAGTCAAGTTTCGGGGATCGAATTAAAACTTCATAGCAACTAATTTATATACCTCATTAAAGATACGATTCTTCTGCGTTCGACACTTGATATTTGAAAATGTTTAAATTTGTTTTCAGTTGATTCCTTGAGGAAAACTATTCGATTGTCATTGATATACAAGCAGACTGCCTTGTTGATTCGATTTTTGACAAATGCGAAATTTTACGTTTGCTACTTGTACGACTAAAGTTCAAATTGCGATACCTAGTTGGGATATCATATATATATTTTTCAGCTAATTTTAGCTCTGACTAACTGATAAGTTACTCTCCTACCACTCCAAAAAATATATTCCTGCTATCGTTGTCAATTTCTGTTATCAAACGAAATTTAAAAATACATTTTTGCATTTCAAACAATAGCACAGATAACGTGCAAAATAATAATTTTGTTATCACAGGTGTAAAGTTTATATGAAAAAATGAAGTTATTGTTTGTAGGCGTCTGAGTGACTCTGAGTTTGCGGCGTTTGATTCGCGACTGACACAGGCGGGACTGAGCATCCAGGACAGACAGACCAGAGTCCGGATGGTAGTCGAGGACCTGGAGGAAGGCCTCAAGGTCATCGCACTCACCGGTAGTTTTTTAAATGGCTAACATATCCGCATCTAGGTCGAAGTGTCAGTGGTTCGAGACCCGCAATAATCTGTGCGTGTTGCATCAGGATTGACATTTTAGAGTTTTTATTAGAAAAAGAACACCCTAAACGTTCAAAATATGTTGACTTTTTAAAATTCCTGTTTGATTTACTAAACAGGTATTATGAAAACGTTTTTTTTTTCCAGATGAGATCTGTTTTTTTTTTTTTTTTTTTATTTTTTTTTTTTGAGACGCTTTTTCGAAAAATTCGCTTTCCCAAAAAACTACCCGTCAGATTCTCATAAAAGTGGTACCAATGGATTCAGTAGCGTTTCACCTACCTGCCTGCATGAAATTTAGGGCAATTTTTACCCTACCCCACCCCCTACGGTCTTAGAAAAGCTTCACAACTCGGTACTTTTTTCACTTTTTGCCCATTTTTTTCGGAAATTTTCGATTTCCTCAAAAAGTACCCGTCCAGATTTGGGATTAAGGGTTTAATCGATAGACCAGGTTGTAGGAAACTCCCATGCACAAGCGGCTGGTCCCTAATTTGCTTAGGGGAAGAGCTATAGACTTAGGAAAAGTCACTTTTTTGATTTTTTTGCCTATTTTTTCGGAAATTATCGATTTCCTCAAAAACTACCCATCCAGATTTGGAATTAAGGGTTTTATCGATAAACCAGGTTGTAGGAAACTCCCCCGCACAAGCGGCTGGTCCTTAACTTGCCTAGGGGAAGTGCTATAGACTTAGGAAAAGTCACTTTTTTGACTTTTTTGGCCTTTTTTTAAATCTTTCCGATTTCCTCAAAAACTACCCGTCCAGATTTGGGATTAAGGGTTTAATCGATAGACCAGGTTGTAGGAACCCCCCATGCACAAGCGGCTGGTTCCTAATTTGCTTAGGGGAAGAGCTAAAGACTTAGGAAAAGTCACTTTTTTGATTTTTTTGCCTATTTTTTCGGAAATTATCGATTTCCTCAAAAACTACCCAACCAGATTTAGAATTAAGGGTTTAATCGATAGACCAGGTTGTAGGAAACTCCCCCGCACAAGCGGCTGGTCCTTACCTTGAATAGGGGAAGAGCTATAGACTTAGGAAAAGTCACTTTTTTGACTTTTTTGGCCTTTTTTCAAATCTTTCCGATTTCCTCAAAAACTACCCGTCCAGATTTGGGATTAAGGGTTTAATCGATAGACCAGGTTGTAGGAACCCCCCCTACACAAACGGCTCGTCCCTAATTTGTAATTTGTCTAGGGGAAGGGCTATACACTTAGGAATAGTCAATTTTTCGGTTTTTAGGCCATTTTTTCAAACTTTTTCGATTTCTTCAAAAACTACCCATCCAGATTTGGGATTAAGGATTTAATCGATAGACCAGGTTGTAGGAAACTCCCCTGCCCAAGCGGCTGGTCCTTAATTTGTCTCGGGGAAGAGCTGTACACTTAGGAAAAGTTTTTTTAAAAGTTTTTTGGCATTGGAACAAAGATTCAATATACTTATTGTGTGGATTTTTTAGACAATGGAATCCGCTATGCTTACGTTTTCTCGCTTTTGCTTGGTGCTATTGGCTTTGTGTTGAGTTTTTTTCTATTGGCTTTGTCTTTTTCCCTCATGAAAACTTTTTACCAAAGCGTTACCAATGAATGCATAAGCTTCTCTTTCACTTTTTTTGCGTAGGAAGGGCGCTATCGACTTGAGAAACCTGAAATATTAAAACAATTTTAAAATAATCAATATTAAAATAATCAATCAGGTCTCTCCAGCTTTCAGCTGGGCCCCTAGTTAGATTCTTTAAACATGTTTTTTTTAACTATGACCAAATTTCTGGGCTAAAACATGCTGCATTACTCGCACACAACGAGCAGGGATCCTGTTGGGTCTCGAACCACTGACCTTTCGATTGAATAGTGAAGACGTTCGAAGTTCTGACGCTGCTCCTGTCTTGCAATATAAAAATCTAGGCGAGGCGAATTAGCAGGCACTGAGCTCGCTTACTTAGCAGAAACACTTTTTTCCAGCTGATCTGTGATTTGATATCTGTTATCTTTGAGCCACACGTTTCCCAGGCGTCGAAGACAAACTACAACTCGACGTTCGCCCGACACTGGAATCGATCCGCTACGCTGGCGTGAAAGTGTGGATGTTGACAGGAGACAAGTTGGAGACAGCGCTCTGCATTGCGAAGAGCAGCCGACTCATATCCCCGAACCAGAAGACGTTCGTCATTGGCGAGGTATGATAGAGTGCTGATTTAAAGTTAAGGCCAAATTATCGGCAATATCTTTTTCGGCCAATGAATCTAAACAAAGTTTCTGTTTGATAAAAAACTTATTGGGATCGCGTTTTTTTTGTTTTTTTTTGAGACGCTTTGGAAATTTTTTTTTTTCAAAAAAAAATTTTGGGCTGGAATTTTGCAAAACAAATTGCATCATTTTTTTCTGCTGAAAATCTAAGCAAGTTTTGACTCATCATTTTCCACCTAAGCTCAACAGAATTTGAGAAAAACGCTTTTTAATTTCAAGTTTTTTTATAGTTTTTTCCGTATAGTTTGAATAAAAAAAAATGACGACGAAAAACCAAGTTGCTCAAAAGAAACTCGACTAAGCATATATCTCCCCTCTCCTCAATGGAGATGCCCAAATTGTGAGCGTGGTCGCGAAAGTTACACAAAGACGGCAAAATTTGTAGTTTTATATTATTAAAGGCTTTCTGCACAATTTTTTAAGGGTTCGGCCCTTTTGGTTCCTTATACTTTCAAATTTTGATTTCATAGGACTTCATTCTTTTCGGTTTTTATCTTTTCCGATTATCGCTCACATGATTCACGACGGGTGGAAAAAATGTGAATCTAGAGTTTTGATCTGTTTCTTTTTCCTTCACAAGGTAGGAGACCGAATTCAGGCCTTGCAGCAAATGAACCTTTTGAGGAAAAAGAACGATGCTGCTTTGGTGGTGTCAGGTGACAGCATATCGGTGAGTTCTCTTTTGCTTAAATATTTTGTTACTTGCATAGTAGCGATGTCCATGATCAAAAAGCTGGAACATCGTTCTACAGAAAAAATATTACGAACGATTAAATACTTCCGGTTTGGAAAAAATCACTCTTCTGATGGATTTATGCAGACTCAGAAGTTTCAAACTACGTCAAAAAACTTCTTGCCAAGAAACTTCAAGGAACTCTGGTGCCACTTTTTCAGCTAGTTGTTTTTTTAAGTATTTTTTTTTCTGGTCAGATGTCGCAAAACGCCATGAGTGAAATAATTTTTGAGAGTAAATACACCAGCCGAAGTATACGCACACCAAAAATGTGCAGAGTATATAAGCCAGCCGAAAGTTTACGTCATATAAATGAAACTTGCATAATTTTCTTAACTGTTACATAATTCTTACATAATTTTTTTTATAACAATTGCGTATTTCCGGCTGATTTATACTTCGGTTGGTTTATATAACACCTAATGTTCATTAGTCAACTTCACTTTCTTCTAGATGATTCTAAAAAACTACGAGCACGAGTTCATGTCCTTGGTGATTCAGTGCCCAGCAGTGGTTGTATGCAGATGCAACCCCACACAGAAAGAACGAGTGGTCATCTTGATACAGAAACACACGAGGAAGAGGTGTGCCGCTATAGGTAATAAGTTACTAAAAAAAACCAGGGGCGGATTTTGGGGGGGTTGGCGGGGGGGGGGGGGGGGGGGGGTGCGGACGCCTTCTTTTTCTTCAGGGAATTGACCCCTTGCCGACCCAAAGGGTCTCCCCTTTGGTATTTTTTAAGAAATCCATTTTTGGCCGATCGACCCTAAAATTTTTCTAAAGGCGCCTTTATATACTAATTTTGAGGGGGGCGCGCGCGCCAAAAAAATGCAATTTTTTGGTCAAAATTTTCCAAAAAGTGCCAAAAACGCCTTTTTCGGACTGTTTTTTTGTCAAAATTTTGCCTGCGGCACAGAAATTTTGGCTAAAACAGGGACTAAACTGTGAAAAAAAAGGTCGACAAAATTTCGAAAAAATTTTGAAATCCCCCCCCCCCCCCTCGAGAAAATCCTAGATCCGCCCCTGAAAAAAAAATTTCTCTTTTTTTAAGAGTTATGAACGTAGTGAAGACTCCTATATAGGTCTTGGTGATTTTATTTTTTTATTAAACTTCAACTAAAACGAAAGCTGTCATTCAGCAGAAAAGCAGTTTAGGTAAATATAAGAATAGCATATATATAGTTCTAGGAAAAAACGAAATTGCTTGAACTGAACGCTTCGATGCTTTGAGATCCTTTAACGTTAAAAAATAGAATTTAAAGAAAGATCGAGAAAAAGTGTTATTTTATGTGACAGGGGACGGTGGGAATGACGTGAGTATGATCCAGGCGGCGAACGCCGGCATCGGCATCGTCGGCAAAGAGGGAAAACAGGCATCCCTCGCGGCCGACTTTTCAATTCATCAGGCAAGATAACACGTGTCTCTTCTGTTATACGGCCCAAATTTATCAAGTTGTTAAAAGACCCGGGTCGAAGTGCTCGACTTAAGTTTCGACTTTGAAAATCGAGCGAGTGCAGTTTTGTGACTGAAACTCCGTGGTCGAGAAGCAATTTTAAGTCGAACACAAACAAACCCGATTTTAGTTGAGAGTCAAAACATTACGAATTTTCGTCGAAAAAGTCGAAACAAATCTGAACCGGGTCGTACAAAGTCTAACACTTCTTGTTGGGCCTAGAAAGCCAAAACAAACCCAACTTTGGCCGATAAAATCGAAGCATACTAAAATTTGGTCGAGAACTTCGAAACTTACCAAAATTTGGTCGAGAAAGTAGAAACATACCAACATTTACTCGAGAAAGTCGATATATACCAAAATTTGGTCGAGAAAAACGAAGCATACCAAATTTTAGTCGAGAAAGTCGACACATACCGAAATTTGGTCGAGACGGTTGAAACATAAACTGAGCACCTCGACCCGGGGAGCTTCTATTTTTATTGAATATACAGACTTACTTTCACTGAAACTAATTTCAGCCAATTAGATTCCAGCATTATGGTTAAATGATGAAACTTTGCAAAAGATCAGTTTTGGGCCGTATAGCAAAAAAGACTCGATAATACGAAAACATACCAATTGTAAGAGCAGAAGTTATGAGCTTATATTAACTGTTATTCAATCAAGGGGTTTGAAAGTTATACTTTTCAGTCTCAGATCTGTATGACCTATACTGAATAACTCCCGTCAGGATGCAGAATCAAAATTTGATTCGGTTGCAGAACCCTGGAACATATCTACTGTAAGAACTGACAGAAACAAACAGAAATTTTTCTAGGCTTGCGGTTTAAAAAAAATGAAAAATTTTGTCGAACTTTTTTAGGTCGACCAATTTGATTTTCCGACCTCTCCAAAAATACTAAACGGACCCTTTTTCCTGGGTCGAGGTGCTCTTTTTATGTTTCGAATTTCAAAATAGCGCATATGTCAGTGCTCGACCAAACTAGAATAGTCGAGACAGGGGGTAAGGCCGAGCACAAGTTTGAAACGTACCTCGAGCACGGTCGAAACATTTCTCAAGCACGGTCGAATTATACTTCGAGCGCGGTCGAAACAATCATCGAACACGGTCGAAACATACATCAAGCACGGTCAAAACATACCTCGAGCACGGTCAAAAAAAACCAATTGCAAACGAATATTCCAAAAGATGTATAAAAATAGCTCAAAAACAGTTAATCTCTACAAAGCACTTAAATTGCAAATAACTCAAATAACTTCATTCGGATAAAAAAGGCATCATGAAATGTTACCCGAAAAGAATAGTTATAACGTTTAAATTTGGATAACTTTTATTGTTTAAAAGTCGAAAAATACCCAAATTTGGTCGAGCACGGTCAAAATATATATTTCTTGAATCGAGCACGGCCAAGAACATTTGGTTTGGTCGAGCACGGTCGAAACATAAAATGAGCAACTCGACCTTGGTTGTATGCAAAAAATCAGGCTGAGAATGACATTTTGAGCACTTGTTTTTAAAATCGCACAAAAATTGCGTTTTTTTGGTGCGTGCTCCCACCTCAAACTCAGTTCTATTGGCGCCAAAGACGCCTTTAGAAAAATTTTGAGGATGGCCTGCCAAAAATGGTTGTAAAATTATAGCAAAGGGGGAACCTTTGGGAAAAATTAGCAACCATAATTGAAGATGGGGGGGGGGCTCGTCACATTACTGTGTTGACTATTTTACGACTCGTTTAATGTTTTTTTTTGAGATATTGCTGTAAATATACATAATCCAGGGTTCTCCGCGAGAATTCAGTTTCTCACGTCTGGCGGTTTTGGTTTGAGAATTCAACTGTAAATTAAACTCCAATTCTCTCTTTAGTTTCGTCACGTGGGTCGGTTATTTCTGGTGCACGGGAGGAACTGCTACAAGAGGAGTGCTGCTCTGGCGCAGTTCGTGATGCACAGGGGTCTCATAATATCCTTCATGCAGGCAATCTTCTCTGCCTGTTTCTTCTTCTCTGCTGTCTCCTTGTACCATGGATTCCTCGTGGTCGGGTAAGCACACAAGTTTCAGTGATTAGTTGAAGAATACTTCATTAAAAGCCATACGGTTCCAAAACATGGCATACTTTCAATTTTTTTTGACAGGAGTGCTCGCTTTCATTTTTTCTTGTATCTTTTTTTTACAGCTCAGCTGACCAAAAAAAAATAGCCAAGTTAAAATGTTTCCAAAAACTTTTTCCTACTGTCTGCAATTTTTTTTTCTAATTCTCCGGATACACAATTTTCTCTTCTCAATCTTCCACCAACAAAATACTAAAGTTTTTGTATACTTAGTCAAAAGAAATATGATACTTTTAATGGAAAATGTTCATTTTTCTACTTTTTTATCATTTATCGAAATTTTGCAACTGGTTGTAATAAAATCTTTGGTTCGATTCCAATTTTCAGCTACGCAACCTTGGAAAAAAGACAGCGCTGCTCTTCAACCGGCTGCTCTTGTCGCCTATCATTTTTTGACTTTTCGAAGATCAATTTTGAAATTTCCAGCTACGCGACCTTGTTCACTGTGTTGCCGGTGTTCTCCCTCGTGTTCGACAAGGACGTGAGGCCGGAAGTGGCCCTGATGTACCCCGAGCTCTACAAGGACCTCCTGAAGGGCAGATATCTGACCCTCAAGACATTCCTCATCTGGGTCATGGTCTCCATCTACCAAGGTCAACATCTCAATTTCCTATTTTTTGTTTTTTTTTTTTCAAAAAAAAACTTGTACTTTTTTGAGTTTTTTTTGAGTTTTGGTCAACACCGATGAAAATTGGAGCTTGGAAATTAAGAAAACAAATCAGTTTTTCCACTTAGAGAAGTTCGGAATGGACCAGAAGTTCTCATGACTATCTATCAGGCTGAAGTTTAATGGTTATAAATGCGGTTTTATAACAATTATTAGTTATATATTTTCAGTAGCGTAATGATGCGAGAGAGTGTGGAAATGAATGGTTGACTTTATTAATTATAGCATTTTTTGGGACATTTTTTGATCAACAAAATTTGGGAAATTTTAACTCGGATTACATTAAAACTTCTTGTATGCCTTCGGGAAAAGACTTCCTATAATCACAATTTTAAAAATCATACCAGAAAACTCAAACTAAACACTAGATAGTGGTTTACGTACTTAACTTTATGAAAACTTTGGTAATGATTGACATTTTTGATGAAATTTATTTTTAGCCTCTGTGCTGATGTTTGGCGCCCTTCTTCTGTTCAATGACAAGTTCCTCCACGTTGTTCCCATCTCCTTCACCGGCCTCGTGCTCACAGAGTGGATCATGGTCTGTCTGACCATAGAGACATGGGTGTGGGTGCATGCAATCGCCCTCCTCATCAGTGTCGGCTGCTACACTGCCACTGTGTTCGTCGACACTGGCACTTTCAGTTAGTATAACAATCATACACTCTAAAATTTGTTCACCTGTTTTCACATGAGCATTACTCACAATTATCGTATTATGAACTGTTTTCAGGCTTAGGATCAGACAAATTTAAGGTTTTTGTACAAATTATAACCCAGTCTTATAAGCGTGATCGAACGTCATTGAACCAAATGCTCCGTTTTCAAACGTCTCTGCAAATATCTCAGCAACAAATTATCCGATCTATTCCGATAGTTTCCCAGAATTTAATCAAATGGTATTCCGATTTCTTCTGGAACCGCATAATTAAGACCCGCGCCAACGCTGTGTTTAAAACCTCAATTTGCCGGCAAATTGAAACAAATTTTAGATTTGAAGGGTTTTGTTAAAAAAAACAGCAACATATTGCCATATTGCTTCATTCAACTCCTTTTAATAGAACGGCAATTGATTCAATTTAATAATTGACTTTCGACTGTTTTTGCTTTCGGTCCTACGCCCATTTGGTCTTTCGCCCATAAGAATAGCCCCCTGCATCTGTAACGATATTGTACGGTGTTACTCATGAGCCGTCGAATAGCAACTAGAATTATTTTTTAGCAATGGAATGCTGGTGCCGGTCTCAATTGTTCCAGAGGAGATCGGAAATCCAATTTTATTGAGAAACTTAGAAATTACCTGGGAATAGATTAGAGTTTTAGAGTTGATAAAGGGAGCTATTCTCATGGGCTCATGACCGAATGGGCGAAAGACTCATGCGCGAAAGACCGAAACCAAAAACAGTCAAAGAGCGGGACCGTTGGACGCGTTCTGGGGTAACAATAAATACATCCTTCTCTGCATTGACCGTTATACAAAGTTCCCTTCGGCCAAGATTGTTAACAACACTTCTACGAGAAATGTAATTTCCTTTTTAAACGATTACTGTCATCTTCACGGGTTCCCAAGAAAATCAGAGTCGACCATGGGTCGTGCTTCTTATCCCATGATTTCAAAAACTTCTGTGAAAAATTTAACATGAAAATTATTTACTGCACAGTCGGCGACCACAGATCCAATGGGCTAGTGGAAAGATTAGTGTACACAATTAAATCGAAACTAATGGCAATGTCTTTCGAATTACCCAAACCGTCACTAATCGAGTCGATCGAAAAAATTATTTGGAATTTGAGAATCTCGAAGCAATCCACGATCGGCTGTACCCCTTTTGAAAAACATTTTAATAGAGTAGCAAACACTAGGTGGAAAAACCTTATGTCCGATATTGATCATTTAGATAAAGGGAAAGCTATCATGTCCAAAGATCGGGCCACTAACTGGGAACTCCACGACGGGGCAGAAGATGGTCATCTGGACGAGGAAAAGGACAGCATGTCAGACCCTGAAGACAACCTGCCACTATCTAGGACAGTCACTCCAAATACAAACCCGGACGACAATAAACAAGCTTCAGAACCTCTTGCAAAAAGAAAAGCAGTCATGAGAGGTAACTTATATAGAAAGGTGTCCAACAGGTAAAATAGGGATCCATATTTTAATCTAGTTAAGAAGGATATCATTGACTCTTCAGAACACACCATAACCCTTGGCAACCGTCACGTTTTACGCAAATCGGATCTGGCTATCAAAGGAAAAATACTCCCGGGGCTCAAAAAAAATAATAGTGAATCAGACACCCACCGGGCATAAACTTCATACTCAATCGAGTTTAGCTGGAAAAAGGAAACTCTCACCACCGAAGAAAGCAGTATCGACACCCTCTGGGCATTCGGGACAAGGCACCTCAAGAGCGTTCAACATCAGAGCAGGAACTAGTGCACCGACCGTGAGCGTGGCCACTCAATACTCTTCTCGAATCTCTTCAGGTTCCTCATCTTCCTTAAACCTAGACTCGTGGGACGGGATAATCGATAATTACTTCGACGATTTGACCAATAATAATATACCTCAGAGCCATCATTCCGAATCTAACCAGGGCTTAAGTGTTACAGGTACCGTCGATTCCCCACACCCGAGCTCAGAAAGGCCAGCGAACACCGACCTCCGGGAGATCGTTAACATTCCCGACTCAACCGAAGCAGAAGGGTCGCAAGACAACCCCATACTGTTAGACAGTACTCCGGAGCCTACGGTCAGCGCGACGATAAATCTTCGACATTCCAGATCACGCAGAAATGTGAGTCCCCCGCAGTTTTACGGAAATCGCCGCTTTATCGACGTGGTCTTAAAAAAAGATGACACAGGGGCGTCACCTTCAGTATTCACCTCTCCACCCGGCATTCCCAGGGCAACTTTCACGGTCTCATCACCGTCTGATTTTTTGACACCACTATCGGAGGCCCCTCCCCGACAAACTCTTGTTGCGGAAACGACGTTAACCTGGTCATCAAAGAATTCTCTCCCGCCGGTCAGACCAGTTATTTCACCTACGAAGACCCTTTTCTACGAAAGTCCTCGGGCTCACACCCAGCTTACCAATTCACGAAGGACTCCCCGCACGAGGTAGACAGCTGTAGCGAGATTTCCTCGACTATCGATTCGGAAATGAGGGCTAAACTGGATGATTTTGACAACCAATTTAATTAACTCACGTATTAAATAAAATAAGCAAAATACCAGCTTGACCCATACCTTACCTTCTGATTTTAATTTTTACCTGTAGATACAATTGTACATGTTAATGTACATGTTGTGGATTAGTTTTAATTTAGTTAGTTGCTGTACTTTGTAAATTTGTAATTCTGTATATTCACCCTGTACATTGTACATTCTCTCTCAATTGTGGATTCTATTTTGCTTCTGTATATTTATCTTCATGGTGCAGTTTGTAAAATCTTGTCCATTCTCGAAGGGGGAAAAAGGGTGTATATAGAGTTATGTAGTTAGTATGCAGTTTTATTTTTTTTCTCGGTGAGAAATGTTGTGATTTTGTTTTAGTGTCTTAAATGACCTTCGGTATTTAATTAATACCTGTTAACCAATTTAGTTACGACCATTGGTCGATATGAGACAAATCTCAGTTGTCCTTTTAACGTTCTTAATTCACATACTTCCTTTTAATAGTTTTAGTCTTTTAAGTTTATGTACAGTAATTGTACATAGGTATGCAGAATTAGAACAGTTTATTAAAGCCAATTGTTAAAATGAATCAATTGCCGTTCAATAAAAAGGAAATATGTAAAGCAAAGAATTGCTTCTGTTATAAGGAAAACTTTGAAATAAAAAACTGGTTCCAAATCGCCGGCGGTCAGTGACAATTTGAAAATGTTTCATATTTCTGCTTTTTTTTATTCGGGTATTATTAATTTTAAGTCCCGTAGATGTTTACTTTCTTTCAGATTTTCATGTTTTCTTTCCAAAAAACGAAAAACTGAAATTTGACTGCCTGATTTTTGTTTTCGTTCAACTGGTCCTACGCCTATGAGGGGTTTGACCAGTGAAAAGACCAATTTTGACGCAAATAATTGACATTGATGAGATAATAACAGAAACACTACAGAGGTTTCTGTAAAAACTCGGAAGTTCTTCTTTCCAAAAAGGATGAAAGGCCTCAAGTAAAAAAGATTTTCTCAATTAGGAGTAATGAATGTTGTGAGTATTTTTATATAGGTCTTGTGATTTTTTTTGTGTTTTTTTAAATTTGTTCACGTTCAACTTTGATTTTTGTTGTTTGACTTTTGATTTCGTTTAAGTTCACTTCATTTCTTTTGTTAAAAGGAAGGCGAATTTCACTATCGAACATCAAAAGTGTACAGGTCACGAAAAACGTGATCGACTTCTAATTTCGAAATTAAAAGTTAATTATCAGATATCACAGAGAAATTTTACCTATCAATCCATTTTTCTCAAATTTTATCTAAAAAGGTTATAAGAAAACTTTTCGAGAAATTCAAAGAGATTTAAGAGCATATAATTTTTCTTCAAAATTAGCAGTTTGAAGTTTTTTCAAATTTTCTGTTTCTTTGCGTTACTCATTTCCAACTGTCAGTTGGCTATGTTCATTAAAGTTTAATAAACTTAAACAGTTTAATACAGTTTAATGCTTTTTCAGTTTAATACTTTTTAAAACATTATCAAATCAACGACTGTACTAATAAAAAATACTTCAGTAGAAAAACACGCAAATCATTTTCAGTTTAAAATATTTTTGAAACTATTCGTTTGTGAAACACATTTGCACATAGTTTTTTCGTTGGATTGAAATCAGCATAAACTTTATTTTGGTTTATCTAGCGCGTGACTTTGTGCTGTCGTGGGAGTTTGTATGGAAAGTGGTGGTCATAACAGCAGTGTCATGCCTTCCAATCTACCTCATGAAGATACTGCGCAAGACATTCAGCCCCGCCACGTACTCAAAACTGTAGTGAATGTGTACCACTTAGGCGAAACATTACAACCGACAGGAGTGCCTTTGTAACAAATCTGTATATGTTGCTGTTACTTATACGCTGGGTGGATTTGTGTGTATGAGGGCTGGTTTTGTTTGGGGGGGGGGGGGGGGTAGCGGATTTCGAGGGGATTAGGCAGCAATGAAGCAAATGCATCTTTCTTATTTATCCTCAAAATTGATTTTTGTTCTCAACTGTTTTCTATCCAAGTTGTTCCTTTTATCTTCGAAAGTTTTAAATATTTTTTTTAAGAGTCAATGATCGTAGTTCAGACTCGTCTAGAGACCGTGATGTTTTTGATTTCGCTTTTTTCACGAAGTCTTAAAATGCTCAAATGTTAAAAGAAGTTCGTTCATACCTATTAATGCTCACATAAAAGTCTTTAGGTTATAATACACATTTTGAGTTCAATTCAAGTCCATTTGCTAGAAAGGTAGGCTAAACTTACTCTCAAAACATGAAAACTCAAATGGGGCGAAAAATCATGATTGATTTTTAGTTTCGAAAATGGAATTTAATTTTAAGATTTCCCAGCGGAATTTTCGGGACTCTTTAACTATTCCTTCACCCTCCCCCTCTAGGATACCTAGTATCAAATTGCCACCCCTACATGGCTAAGCATATGTAATTTTTCTACCTAGTCAGGAATCTCCCCTTTTGCAAAACGAGGGAGGGTGGTTAAAGGGTTCCAGCTTTTCCTAATAATCCTAATGATGATCTTTTTGGTGCGCTCATCCCTTTCAGAAAAATTAATGCAGATCAGTGCTGAAAGAAAACTGCAGCCCCCGTCCCCCCTCCGCCGTTAGTTCACCTCTGCGTGTTATGCTGTTGAATAACCTTCATTTATTTCCACTCATTCTAGTGCCTCTGACAAAACAAATTCTGGGTTTTTTTTCGAAACAATTTTGAGTCGTTGAAGAAATTTAACGTGGTAGAACAAATTTTAAAAACATTAACCTTGCACACAAACATGCAAACCAGAAACATTACAAATCGGAGCAACTACTTCAAGTAGATTCAGCGTATATAAGCAAATATTGATTATAAAATTTGTAAAGTTTTTTTGTTATAGTTATTAAATAGATTCAATAAAAATGAGATTTAAAATGACAAAAAAATGTTTTTTTTTAATTGTGTTTCTATGTGCGATATGGCTCGGTTTGCAGTCCTGTTCTTGAGAAGCGTCCGTTTACTCAAACTTGTCAAATTGTGCTTAAAATCAATCAGTTTTGCCAAGCATGATAATAATTATAAAACCAGGCCAATGTTTTGATTTTATGATCAGACGATTGCGACTGAAATTTGGTACTTCCAGACTTTGCAGACCGTCTGCGAGATGCGTCTGCGACCGGCACGATAAAAATTCATGCGACCCGTGCGACCGAAAAAAATTTAATCTGCGACCGTCGCGACCAAAAAATAACAAAAACTGGCGCGACCAAAACAAAAAGGGTACATGGCCGGCACAACTAAAATAAATTTAAGCACGATTTGCACGACCGAGCGTCTCTCAATATTATTGCCAACTCATCTTTTGTCTGAGATTTGAAAAGATTTGCTAACGTCGGTTGCAGCTTAATTCTTTCCCGGAGTTTTCCAAGCGCTTTTTCCTTTTTCCAAGAGTTTTGCTTTCGTTTGCGAGTTCAAAAGAAAAGTTCATATTTATACTTTGAATGAAGAGTTTTTTTACACAAATATTTGAGAATCGACGAACGGCGTGAAAAGATTTATTTATGTCGCGTGATCTTTTTTCTCAAATGATTCGTGTTTTTTTTTTCAAATTGAATTTGATCACAATTTGATTTGGTTTTTCGCGATTTGATTTTTGGTTTCTGTTTAAGTTTCTGTTCAAGTTCTGTATTAGCTCCCTAAAATGGAAACAACTCTCGCAAATCTGATTGGCTTGTCGGTTCAATATTGAATTTAGCACCTCAAAGCTTGACAAAGAAGGGTATGATGGGTTTTATTTGATTCACCATTCTGATCCTGCCAGGAAGTTTTTTTGAAAAACTTGAAAGCAGGTGGAATAATCCATATTAAGACAGAACTTTTCTCACTTTGCAAAATCCTTGAGACAACAAAAAAGTTAGAGCAGTAAAAAACTACCAGTTTTTTTTCCTGTCATAAACCTAAATGATCCAACTATCGTTTATTTAAGCTTTTCACAAAAAATCCCCGAATGTTCCGACTGTCCAAAAATTTTTCTCGAATAGTTTTTGGTTAATGAAACTTAGAAAACTCTTAATTTTAAGCTGAATATGAAGAATTGTGAGTAGAATTAAAAGACCAATTAGACTGTGTTAATTGAATTTGGAACGTTGTTGTGGTGCGGGATAAGTTGCTACGCATACATAACGCGCGTCAAACTTTAGCATCAAAGTATCACAGCGCTCTTTTAGTCACGTTAGTCTTTCAGTGAGCGATTCTCAAATAGATTCTCAAATTTAACCAAGAAAAACACTGTTTACTGACTGTCGTCATTCATTGGGATTAATTGCTTGGCTGAATTAAATTTAGATCAACTTTTAGTTTTTACTCCAGTTTAGCCGAACTGGCAACTTTAATATCAGCCTATAACTTAACAATGATATCAAATTAACAACTGGTATCAACTAAAATCTCTTTTCGATTTCAGACTCAAATCTTTGATATTTTTCAGCCTGCGTAGAAAATATTGTGTAGAAAATTTAACAACCAGTCCATAGTCAACGAACGTTGAACAACTATAGTTATAAGCAATTGCTGACCTGTATCCAACACCAAGCTTAAGTATTCGAACAAGACTGCTCGTATCAAGGCAAAACTCTGAATGTAATGTTCTGACTACCCAATAACTGATCTCGAATAGCTTTTGGCCAGCAAAATTTTGACGAACTATGAATTTTCAGCTGATATTATCAAATTCTAAGTTTTAAAGTTTGAGTCGTGTACTGAAATTATTCAACCAATAGGCTCGCCTCAATTCAATTTGGAACAATTTGTAGAGTGGAATATTAATATTGTGGTATGCGAACTTTGTGGGACCCAAGAAAATCCATAGATCGATTTCCGGAGAGAAAAACATTCCGAAAATTTCTCTTAATTAAAAATAACCACCCCGAGCATATATAGTCCTCACTTATTTTATAAGAAAAAAAAATAAAAAAGAAATTTATTCACCAACTGATTATACCCAAAGTTAACAAGATTAAATATAGATTAAATTGTGGCTATAGTTATACAAAACTATTTGAAGTAAACACATTTGAAAGTTTTCTGTTCCAAAATTTGAAGAAAACGCAAGATGAATATTGCCAGGATGTTAATTCCTATTCTGTCAGAGATCGGCCTTTATTTAAGCGTTTTCGACAAAAATCTTCACACCAACATTTTTTAAAAACATTTTCGTCAATTTTTCAGCAAAGTTTTTTTAATGGCCTCAAACAGCACTCAGAACATTCAGGACTTCACCCTAACATACTAGCAGGCTTGCTGACTTCGTCAATATTCTATTATGATTTTTTGTTGAATATAGCAATAAAATCAATTGGGATAAGATAGCACTTTTCAACGCCCTAGCAACAAAAACATAAATCACTATGCTCGCACCAAATCACCTCCTCTTATCATTTTAAACTCATATTCTCCAAAACTCCTTCAATAATGATTTTGCTCTTATATTCCCGAAAATCTTCCAAAAATTCAAAATCCCCATTACTTTTTTGGTGTAATACTTTTCCTCAAATACACAAAAAAGTTCTGTAATGTACAAAGTGAAGACAATTTTATGCTCTTGGTAATTTTTTGTATTTAGTTTAGGAGAATGTCTGGAAAATTTTTCGCGCTCATTTTTCAATTTCACATATGACATATTTGACTGAGCTGATCTGATTTTGTTTTTTCAGATCAGCTAAAGAGCTCAAAAGAAAGAAAAACTCCACTATCAAACAACAAAAGTGTAACAGCCACAAAAACTGTGATCGCCTTCTAGTTGCGAAAATGGATTTTAATTATCAGTTTTTCCAATGGAATTAAAAATTAACATATTGATGCAGTTTCCGCATATTGGGTTAACTTTATCATAAAAGTAGTAATCATAAATTTAGAATCAAAACTTGTTCTTCAAAGAGCTTTAAAGGAGTATATATATATATTGAAAATTGAAAGCTGAGGTTTTTTTCAATAACATCTGTTTGTTTTCATTCATTCATTACTATTTCCCAAATCATTTGGTAATGAAAAGTTTTTTCATTGCTTACGCTAAATTATATTTTTTGCCATGAATTGTTTGATTCTTTTTTCAAATCATTTCAACTCATTAACAAATTTTGAAGCCAAATATTTCTCTAATTCAGAGAAGCAAATGACGCAAAAACCTGAATGACAAGTTTTGAAAGTGGATTTTAAACTATCAAAACCACTTTTGTTACATTTGTTTCAATTAGGCGTAGTTTTACTAAAACAGTGACAAACATCAATTGTGTCTAATATCTAGAAACCTTATATATGTTTTCTAGAAGCCTTATATTTGAAACTCAGAACTCGGACAATTTCAAATACTAAATCATTCATTGTTTTGTTTCCTTGAGTTCTATGACACTTTTGAAAATGTCTTATAGCTATATTTATGAATCATCTATGCAATTTTTATATCAAAATGGGTTCATAGAATGCTGGGAGAGATCGGTATAAATATTTGATTATGTCAATTTTTCATTTCGAGACCAACACACCATTCAAAAAAGGATTGCTGAAGTTTTTTGTCTCTTAAATTTTTAAACTCTTAAACTTTAAATAATACCATCTAGTTTGTGCTAGTCACTGTCCAATATTCAATCATAAAACACTCTCTGTTTTCGGCTCTTTTCCAGTTTCCCCCACTTTCAAATTCAATTTTGAAAAGCTTGTTTAACGTTGTCATAATGCAATGAAATTTGGCGTGGTGAACAAATCAACAACTGTGAACAGATTTGTTCTTCATACTTTACAGCGTAACA